AGCCAGTTGAGTTATCATCTCACAGCCAAACAATTCCCTGCAGCGCTGATTCTGAGCAGCACCAACCACCCACTCATCACTGATAACACCAGTGGTGCAACAGCTCATCTCCTCTGCAGGTCAGGTCAAAATGAATTCTCTACAACCCGCTTTCCATTCTCAAGAGGGCCCTGCCCAGATCTCCAAGGCTCTACTCTTCACAGAGAGAGGGGCAGAAACAGATAAAGTACTTGTTGCAAAGAAGATACAAGGATTAAAAGGATAAGGATGAAAACCAGAGCATACAAGCAAAGAGAAGCAGGTCCTACATAACCCCATCAGCCAGAGAAGGGTCTTACTTTGCCAGGGAATTGTGAGCTTCGATAAATATCTCCTGTGCCTTCTCCGGGAAGGTTTTAGTGCTGAAATCTGGATCATGATCTTTTATCTTCCGCAGACTGAAAAGACAAGAAAAGCCCTACAGTAAGTAAAGAACAACTTGGAAACACCTCAGGTGTTTCAGATGAACTGGGACTTAGAAGGTTCAAGCCCAGCTTTTACCACGGAGCAACTGAGAACTGGAGACTCCCCCACTAAGATATACCCAACAGCAACAATGGATGGTGCCCTCTCACCACTGCAAGACAGAACTGAGTGAAACTCCAGCACCACAGACTAATTAAAAAGGAGGTACGTACGCCAGCTGGGAGGCAGCACTCTGCTTCAGCTTCTGCATCTTTTGCTTCAGCCCATCTTTGGACAGGGAAGTCAAGCGGGCATCGCCCTCGGGAGGGACGTACGGGTCTATAATATCAGCTGCAGGAGAGGGAAGAAAAGTCAGGAGGAGGCTCAAAAGCAGCAAAATGAAGGAAACAAAGAGGCAGCACCCTGGCTGCCGGGGGGTGGAGAAGCAGGATTCCACCCTGATGATGTCTGTAAGATGAAATATGAGCACACAGAGAACTGTAGTCTAACACAGCTTGTCAGCAGTGACAGGCCCCTGCTCTCTGCTCTCCTCTTCCAGGGGGAAAAGGAGGATAAAGACACATTCCGGAGTGGAAAACGTGACCTCCCTCGCTATTCCTTGTCCTTAGGTACGAAGGGCCAACCAGCTCAGAAAGCCTTTACCTCAGAAGCTGCCATCCCTCACCAGGAGGCAGAGTGGGCAATTCAGCCTACTGCTGATGGACACTCTGTCACCGTGGTCACACCACTTAAGCTAATTGCTCCACGCTGCTACTTTGCCCTAGTTTTGCCCTTGAGAAGGGACCAAAACCCAGTTTCTACCACCTGTGCAGGCCAAGTAGAAGGTCCGTTCTATACGGTCATCAGGAAATATTGTCCCTGAAGACTTGAGTCTCTTCTCCTTCTCTTCAGGAGACAGTTCTCTGGCCCATTCAGGGACAGAAAACCTCTTCTTCGTTCTCACTGGGACAAGGAGACAGGCCGGAGCCGCTCCAGCGGGACGGAGGATGGACTCGGCAGCCTAAGGGAAAGAAATAACGAAGCCGTAGAGTTAACCAGTGGCCAAGAAACAGCTCCAACATCTTGCCTTATTGATTTCACGCCTCCCAAGCACAGAGCGGCTGTAAATACACCCAGCGCCGCTACTTGTCGCCATCCCCGTCCCGCGGCCTTCCCGTGTTCCCTCATCCCTGACTCCCCACATCCCTTATCCCGTGGCTCCTCGCTCCCCCGGGCTCCTCATCCCCTCACGGCCCCTCATCCCCTTCCCCTCCGTCCGTCCCGCCGGCTCCCAGCCCCGTTCACCGGCCCCCACCTGCCAGCCCACCCTCAGGCCCAACCGGCCCAGGCCCGCCTTCAT